ACCTTACAAATTAACAAACTTATACAAACGACATAATTGAATTTCAGATATTGCTGATTATGTAAACTTATATTAGTGAATTGTTAGATTATTGAAAGTCAGTTTTGTGTATTTAAATGTAGTTTTTATTGATATTTATAATAAGTAAAATTGATTTTCAACGCCTACTTCTCACATTATGTACATACCAGGAGGCTAATTCGTATTATACAGTGCAATTACAAACAACATACTTCTGACTGAGTTTTGAAATGTCAGCGTCTGTCTCCAATATACATAGAAAGTTTAGAAAACGTTTGTTGATCCCTTTAAACGTACATGAAAACGATGACCTACATGTATCGTTTTTGTACCGAATCAGATAGTCTATGTAAAAAAACCTGGGTAGAGTACAGATTTGAAACAAATGCCTCCATATTTCAATTTCCTTGTTTACATTGTTTACTTAGCATTTCGTTCCATTTCAATTTCTGCATTATAAACAATATTTGTATGTCCCATTTTAAAAACTTTCAATCTGAAGTTTCTTTAAGAAGAATCCACTAGACCATTTCGAGTTCGAGCCTACTGTGACGACCAATGGCTGCGCTGTAACCCGTCCGCAGGCCAAATCGTATAATCAGTTTCCATGCAATATAGACAAGAGATATTATTGAATCACCCTGCCTGTTTGTATCTGACAATGCATCTACCCCTCAGAGACGTTTAAATCAATAGGGTTTTCATAAAAACCATGGGCGAGGGAGCCGAGTAGAAATTAAATTAATGGAGTTTTACGTCCTACTTTTCTGCACCATTTGGGCTAATGAAGACGGAGGGAGCTGAATAGAGCCCACAGGATTGTCAAGAGCGGCTCTCTATATTTTATGATCAGAAGGCTTAATTTGTAATCAGGGGTGGGGAGATTCTTACTACCAGCAGGTCCTTTGCAATGATCTTTCCTCGATAATCCGTAGGCTGGTTTTTCCGGATAAAATCTCTTTAAAATACAAGGTAGGCTATAAAATAATCAATGGACGAATATGAAACGCACGTGTAAAATATAATAAATAAATATAAAATGACAAGTTGGGTAATCTACACCAGATTGATTACGTCACCTGGCAACAATAATCAACTTCCGGTTAGTCAAGGTTAACGGTATTAAAGTGGGTTGGGTTAGAATACGACCAAGAATAATGTTAATGTATCCAAGCCGTGTCTCGATACAAAATATGATATTATTGTAATATTTAAAAAACATAAAGGTAGCCCTGACTCTCGTTTTATATTTTAGGACAGGGGCTTTATTCTTATAAACTTTAGCGTTCCAGTCATCTGATTGGTCAAACACTAAAATTATTTAAAATTTGTCTTTATCATCCAATCAGATTACTGTATTTCTTAATATCTTAAAGTTAAGATTTGGAGAATAAGGTCCCAGGTCGGTTTGTTTCTGACTTTGTGGGAGCAGAATGAACAATACTTGTAATATACATAGGCAGGGCAGAACGTGCTGACTCTTTTCGGGCACCTGATGTCCACTTTGAATCTATTTTGGTTACTCTACAAAGCTAGAACTTTTGTTTTGTAATAGGCATACACACCCGAAGTCTATTGGTTAAGAAAGATACTCTCATTTATTACCGAAAAGCTACAATACCATTATCAAGTTCTGAATACAAAATACAGAATTACGCTGAACATTGCCTTTAAGAGTGATAAAGTGCATGTTAGAAATGGGCTGAACTTGATTTAGACAATCGCAGATCGTGACTATTTTCATGTAGCCTATTCTAGTGCATGAATACATGAAAACCACGAAATATAATAATAATATGTATCAAAAAACTCATTGAACACACAAAACATCCATAGAGATAGTGTATTAAAGGGACAGGTAAGAGTAAGTTTCAGCACAGCCCATCCTCAACATTTCCCTTTAGCTTCGGTATCTCAATTGACCTGTAGGCTTCGATCCTTGTCTGTATGCTGAGCATGGGGCAAACCAGATGGAGCGAAAAAGAGGCATTTTCACCTAGATAGTATGGATCTAGAATCCGTAGTAGCCTAGCCTACCTTCCGCTTACCATATGGAGGGAGGAGAGGGGGTTACTTTGACAAAGTGTTTCAATTGTTCGCATTGTCGACAAAGGTGTCCAATGCTAATATTAACAAGCACTGCTAGTTTAAATTGCCAATGGGGTCTCTCTGGAACATTTGAGGTGTTCGAATGTACCCTCACGGGGTTTATCAATTATTAATAAATATATTGAAATATGTTGTAAAAGAGACAATGTCTCAATAGTGGGGGTGGGGGTGGTTCGGGGACCCGAGGTTGGTAAGCAGGGTGTCTATATTAACATACATTATATGTATTCTAAAGCCTGAGCTTTCTAATCTGTCTAATCCGGATGGTGTTTGAGGATGTTCGATCGTGTTTAAGGGGCAAGGAAGCGGGTAATGATACATTGTTGAGATATTTAGCAATACTTACGGGATGTTTTCGATGATCGAGAATCTGTACGTGACTTGTGTCGAGATTGTATACGATTTGTACGCCTCGTCTTTATAACATCAAAGTAAGAAATTGTTGGAACCCTGCTCAGTTCGTCTACAATAGTAATAGGTGAATAAATAATTTCACAGTTCTACAAGATAGATGATGGCAAACCGCATGAACGTTACGATTATTCCATTTTTAGAGGGATTTCATTCATCTGTCTATTTTTCCAAGTACCGGTACCGTAGGCCTAGACAGAACAAGAAAATGTTTCTTTAAATATATATACATACTTCCTGGACATTCTTCCTGGTCCTGCCCAATCCTTGCTGGCTATCCATGAGATTCAACACTTCTGTTTCTAGAAACATCGCGGAATTTTGCTCATGGATCTTGAAGACGGAGTGGAACAATTCAGGGGACGGAAATCTGGTACGAATTCAATTACCAGACAACAATTAAATTTTCTCTTTTTTTTAATGCGCTACTCACCGTTTCTGTCTTTCAGAACTGTTTCAAAAAATGTTGCAGCGAAGAGGTTGATATCCTGTGGACTGGCTCTGATACAGACTCGACAGAATTTCTCCATGTAGTGCTGAAAACCAGGGGGAAGTTTCTGGATCCAGTAGGACTTGTCGGAGGTTATTCTCGATCTAACGGTACTAGAAGTGGATGTCATCGTGGTTGTCTTGATATTTTTGTCTTGATATTTTCTCTGTTTATTTTATGCTACTAAAATAGATCAAATCAATGAACTTGTAAATTAATGTAAAATAGTGTGTTTAATAATCAAGAACAAGAAATAAGATATTTCATGCATCTAGGCCTGTGTCGGCTACGCTTACATGTATATTACATAAGGAGCCGGTTTTTTTTTTTTAAGGCCTGGATATGAATAGGTTTACGATTAGGCTAGGCCTATGAATGAAAATGAATTGTCCGACCACGGTGAACTCGAATTTTTATTTTTTCTGTTATTTCACAAATATTTAAAAATAATTGCAGTTGCTTATCAGTTAATCTGTCTACAGTTAGGACCCTAAATCATAGAACTGTATAATATAGTTTTATGTCTAAATCTAGAATACAAGGCCTTAGAGGGCAATAACTTATAATATGAATTTATGATAAGACCAAGAAAGGGCTGATAATTTTTCATTTTAAATTTAAATGAACACCATCCACAAATTTTCACTGAAACTGAAAGTTTCCCATGTTTCTGACTGAATTTTCTCAATCTAACTCAACTATCAATCTAACTTAACTCTATCAATTTTATTGTGTCGTATGTGACGTGGCAAAATTCGATAAATTTTACACTTGATTTTGAAATAAAATTAAAAAATCTTTAGAATGACAAAGGTTTCTAAATCAAGGTTTTGTGTATTTTTCTTGAATGAAAAATACAAAAACTCTACTTCCATTTTGAAGTTAGAGACTTCGACTTTGTCATTGGTCAGTTTTTATCGCATTTGATTGGCTTACAGGTGAGAAAACCCCAGAAACTCACCTTGATAAACTTACCACAACAACGATTATTTACACGTTTCCATGGGAGAGTTTTTGTTTACACGTGACGTATCGGCAAATAACAGCTTCGGGCAAAAAGTAAAATGCAGATAATATTTCATAAAATAATTATCCAGGGACGTGAAATTAATGAAAAAGTCTGGTTTCTGTTTTATCTGATGACTTTGGGAACAAAATAATTTTTGAGTTCACAGATTGGGATTATCAAAAACAAAACTTGACTTTTCGTCCAATGACCGTGGCTTGAATTACTTTACTGCGTGCCTAACAAGATGTCTGCGTCCATGGAATATTGAACTTTGCCTCTCACCAGACAAACAAACAACAAAACACAACACCTGTTGCTGATTACCCCAACATGACGGACTTTAACGTGACATGAAGTTGAGGTTAATTGCAGGCAACAGAAAGCAAGCAATGATTTAGTGAGTTTGTTTCTTTTATTGTGCAAATTTTAGATTTGGAAAATTTCGATGTTTCTGATTAGTTTGTTGATATTGATTATTGTTGACTGCTGTAAACTAAACATTTGAGCATTTGATTGGGTGCTAATGTCAGGTTCCTGCGTGAGTCAGGTAATTAATTTCTAATAACTGTAGCATTTGACTTCAATGGGTCGTTTGGAGGCATAAATTCTCTGTCTGCAATGGAATAAATGATCAACAAAATTCAGACTTTATTGAATCATGTATTCAGTTGTTATTCACTTTTGTAAACTGAGCTTATTTTGTGAATATTGTAGTGATTCATGAAGGTTTTTCATCATGCTAAATCTCACAATCCAATAATCTGGCATTAAGCTATGGTTTATAGAGGTAATCTTTTGTGGAAAGCACCTTGCATGCTTGGTTGAATTGCCAATGTAAAATTATGTCAATTTTCCACTTTGCACTTTGTCGTTTCAGAGAAATATCATCAAACAGAAACTGTAAATACCACAATGATGTTGGTAATAAATGATTTAGATATAACATTTCTATTACAATGTTTGATAGGCTGGCTGTCACTGTATTTTTTGTTATTTAAACTGTTCCCAACCTCCCAGTATTCAGAATGGAATTGTCGTATTGTGACTGTGATACATGCTATAGGTATCAGTTTAATAGCTGGTTATTCAAGTTTTATTGAAGGACCCTGGCCACTAACAGATGCAGGTAAGTCATTATTTACTTTGAAAAAAAAAAATGTAAATCTAAACATGATCTGATATTTCAAGCCTCAGAATTTGAACGAGTCACAAAGCTTATAGTAAGTGCAAGAGAACCATGCCACATAATGTACAATCAAACAGTCGACTGATACTGACAATGATATTGGAAGCAATTGCTGCAGATTTGTATGATTCATCATTGCCATACCAATAGCAGTTTTTTTTTTATAGATCTGTGGGGTTTTTTTTCTAAACTTGTAAATAATCTATTAGATAATGCTTTGTTTTATCAAAAGAATTTGCTTTTTATTTCAGGTGGACGTAATACTCCTCTACAGATTACTACAGCCACTGTTTGTTTAGCTTATTTTATTTTTGATTTTTCTTGGTGCCTCAAATATGGAACTGAAGGTAAAACTGTTTTTTTTTTTTTTTTGGTTCAATTTGGTCAAAAGGAGCCAAATTATACTATTTAGAGAAATAATACACCAGTTGCTAAGTTACAAGGTTTACGAGGTTCAATAATACGTGCATGTATCACACAGGCTTGATGGTGGTCTTTAAAGTTCATTCTTTTCCAAAGATGCAGAATGGAATACCAGATGGATTGAGTGATATCTCCCCAGCCAATGGCCTTGGTACATGTATTTAAACCATATATGCTTTTCTGTTTTCCTGCACTACCCAGAGAAAATTTATTTTGTGGTTAAGTTATAATCAAAGTTTTTGTGTTATTATTCCAGGTTATACCATGTTACTTCATCATCTTATGAGTATAACAGGATTAACAGTGTCACTATTAACAGGGCAATACGGGACAGAACTAGTCGCTACAATTTGTGGAGGGGAACTGACTAACCCATTATTACAACTACGCTGGTTTCTACGACAAACTGGATACAAAGACACAAAAATAGCTCTTGTTGTGGACGCCATGTTTGTATTTTCATTTGGATTCATGCGTTTAGTCATTGGATCTATTTTACTGTACTGTTACTTTACGCAGCCGACTGATTACCTAGGTCGTTTCGGTGCAATTTGTATCTATATCATGGGTGTGATATTTTGGATTAACATAATCCAATATGCTATAAGGAAGTTTTCTTCAGGAACAAAATGTGATAAAAGGAAACTAAATGGAACTCACAAACTTTCAAATGGATCAACATTAAAGGAGAAGCCCCATTTAAATGGTATAACAAGGAGTGAACTACATTATAGAGCTAATGGAACAACTAACCATATATCTTGAAGTGTTTTGAATGATCTTAAAATACAATTTTCATGAATGTTGGACTTTGGACTTGACAGTGATAGTTTTTGGGTATTATGGAGAAATAAATTTTGGTAAATCTCATTTCTTGACAAATAATTGTAGACTGATAGACAAAATGGACCACAATTCTGACGTGGGTTTCAATTTTGCTCAAAACTAAGATGTAGATGTGAGATAAGATCATTATAACCTAGTGCATTTTCCTGATATTTCCCCAAGTGTTATATTATGTTTACATTGTACATCAGACTTTGGAAGTTAGAGTTCTAAAACATCTCAACTTTCAGTGTGTGAGGTAGCAATAAGTCTAAGTAAAGATTGGACAGTACGCATGGCAGAGGGGAACAAACTCTTTTTGTGCAAATATTTTTTTCAATTTAGTCCAATATATAATTATATGTTATATATTAGTGGAACTCTCTAAAAAGGGATATAGCAAGTTGAACAACTGCCTGCAGCCTTTTGGTAAGACTTAGCAACAAAATTCAGCGGCTAAATCTGTTCGTGTATCCCAAACATTAGCTTGCGATATCAAGTAAATGTACAGTGTATTATGAACCCAGGCATAGATTTGCATCGTGTGTTCCAGACTTTAATGATATAGTTTTATATATTTTCTATACAGGGTCAGAGTGTATCATAATACAATATATTAATGATATTTGTAAGCTTATTTTTGTTGATTTTTGAAATATTTTTCTGCTGACACTTTTATAGTCTGTATAAATGTAAAAAAAAATACCAGATATACAAAGTTGCTATATATAAATCTTTCCGATTTCTGTTTTATGTCTGTGGTTGCTGTAATTTCAGGAAAATTTGATTATGAGGTCAGTATTTCAAATACTATTCAGGCTATATAGTTACAGTTCATAATCAGGACTAGATCTACTGAAATTACAGTGACTACTGTTTAGGTTGGAATGGAAAAAATATTTAAGTATTAAGCTTTGTTTGAATTTTTGAGGAATCTTATTTTTACATTGTTATATTATGATATTTGTCCCAACTGCCTTCATTGTTGATGTGTATTATATGGAAACTTTTAAGGAATGACTACTGAACAAGTTATTGTTATGGGGAATCATGTTATAAGATAAATGACTAGACAAAGCTCCTAACATTCTAGTTTTATATATGGTGTGTGTCATGATTTGTTCAGCTTTTAATGCTCTGTATTATAACAGTGATGGTTACATACATTGAAGACCAATCGGATTATATTATATGAAAGACTTAAAAGTTTATATCAATCCTTATGCACCCTTTTTGTTCTTCTGTTTGATCTATATTAATGGGATAGAAAGACTCGAAATTTATAGTCTGCAGCTCAAAATAAATGCTTTTTCATGTTCATCTTCAAAATTATTTATTTTATATTTCAATGATGATATAACTTGTATAAATTGAATTGCTGTGGTTTCTATATATAGCTATATATTTATTATTGTTGTATATTTCCATGTTTTTGTATAAATTATATATTTATTTTATTGTATATTGCTCTCTATTCTGTCCATCTGAGTGCTTTCCAGTTTATTGACAATATATTTTTATAAAATCTCTTGCATAATAATGATGATCATGGTATGATTTCACCAGGTTGATTTATTGCTTCAAAGTTGCTGTCTCAGGCATTGTACAAAAATTGTATTTTGAAGTCTATCTGTAATTGATGTAATAATTCCATTAAATAGATATTTATCAGTTACTCCATATTCTAAAGAGTATTTCAAACTATAAAGTTCCATAAGGCATTTTGTTGAATTAATCTTCATTGAATTTGAAAATTGAAACTGATTTCATCTACTTTCATTTTACAATTTCAGTGGTTTTAGTTCTATAAGATCAGACCTATTTCACTCAGACTTAAAGTTGATTTCACTATTCCAGTTACATGATTGGTCAATCACTAAAATGAATTTTGATTCTGGCTTAATTAATCAGATTGTATTCCCATAATCTTTATTTTACCAGGGAGACTTAATCTGAAAAATACTCCTATATTTGGTGATTTAATGGACAAATAACAAACAACCTTGTACAATAAGATACATTTAATTTGTAAGGGTTGACAGGGTTTTATCTTTCAATATACAGTGTATGCTAATATTACAATTAAAAACATCGCCTTTTCTAATTTCATAATATGAAAATTGGACAATATGGTCCTATTTAACTCATTTGATAATGAAATAAACTATATTATATTTATTAATAAACATTGTTTTTCTTATCTGTTATTTTTATATAATAAATTCTCTTGTCTTTTAAATTCAGGTCGTTATATTAATTTAGCACGTCATTGATTGACTATAGCTCATTCCATGCTTCCATCTGATTGACTACAGCACATTTCATGCTACCATCTTTATTTTACAGTTGTTATTTATCTCATCTGAGAATTTACAGTAGTTATTTATCCCATCTGAGAATTTACAGTCGTTATTTACCCCTTCTGAGAATTTACAGTTGTTATTTATCTCATATGAGAATTTACAGTCGTTATTTATCCCATCTGAGAATTTACAGTTGTTATTTATCCCATCTGCGAATTAACAGTCGTTATTTATCCCATCTGATAATTTACAGTCGTTATTTACCCCTTCTGAGAATTTACAGTTGTTATCTATCTCATCTGCGAATTAACAGTTGTTATTTATCTCATCTGAGAATTTACAGTCGTTATTTACCCCATTTGAGAATTTACAGTCGTTATTTACCCCATCTGAGAATTTACAGTCGTTATTTATCTCATATGAGAATTTACAGTCGTTATTTATCCCATCTGAGAATTTGCAGTTGTTATTTATCTCATCTGCGAATTAACAGTCGTTATTTATCCCATCTGAGAATTTACAGTCGTTATTTATCCCATCTGAGAATTTACAGTTGTTATTTATCTCATCTGCTAATTAACACTTGTTATTTATCCCATCTGAGAATTTACAGTTGTTATTTATCTCATCTGATAATTTACAGTTGTTATTTATCCCATCTGAGAATTTACAGTTGTTATTTATCCCATCTGAGAATTTACAGTTGTTATTTATCCCATCTGAGAATTTACAGTTGTTATTTATCCTATCTGAGAATTTACAGTCGTTATTTATCCAATCTGAGAATTAACAGTCGTTATTTATCCCATCTGAGAATTTACAGTCGTTATTTATCCTATCTGATAATTTACAGTCGTTATTTATCCCATATGAGAATTAACAGTCCTTATTTATCCAATCTGAGAATTTACAGTCGTTATTTATCCAATCTGAGAATTAACAGTCCTTATTTATCCAATCTGAGAATTTACAGTCGTTATTTATCCTATCTGATAATTTACAGTTGTTATTTATTCTATCTGAGAATTAACAGTTGTTATTTATCTCATCTGAGAATTAACAGTCCTTATTTATCCAATCTGAGAATTTACAGTCGTTATTTATCCTATCTGATAATTTACAGTTGTTATTTATCCAATCTGAGAATTTATAGTCGTTATTTATCCCATCTGAGAATTAACAGTCCTTATTTATCCAATCTGAGAATTTACAGTCGTTATTTATCCTATCTGATAATTTACAGTTGTTATTTATTCTATCAGAGAATTTACAGTTGTTATTTATTCTATCTGAGAATTAACAGTTGTTATTTATCCCATCTGAGAATTTACAGTTGTTATTTATTCTATCTGAGAATTAACAGTTGTTATTTATCCCATCTGAGAATTTACAGTTGTTATTTATCCCATCTGAGAATTTACAGTTGTTATTTATCCCATCTGAGAATTTACCCGGTTATGTTACTGTGGAATTACAAAGCCTTGAAGATATACATTGCGAATTGAGGATGGTGATTACAAGACCTAATCAAGAAGAAATTAATTTCTACATTCTTAATGTTATACAGAATGATATCTCTAACAATATATGTGTCTTGGCATTTTAATGATATATCTGACTTTCTCATTATCTGCATATAAAAATACCAGAATCATTTCAAATATAAAACTATCTGTTGCCATGGTAACTCTTGTATTTTTCACGATTTCAATTAAGAGTCGTTTTAACTTAATTTGTTGTTAGGATACATAATTGTTATTTTAGGATACAGTTTTTGTTGCATTTCAAATTTGTTAATGTTCATTTGTTCTGTCCTTAGATCGATAACCTGAAGGTTAAGTGTCGATCCTGTCGTCGTAATGTGCTTTTTTCATTTACTCTGTGATATAGAGAAAAGACATATAGAGAAATAATGAGTAAAATTCCTAATTCGAAGTATTTTTTAAGGGAATTATGTGATATCGTACATTGTTAGTATTTCTGAAGACTATTTATATATATTCAAGATTAAAATCAACCCCCAAAAGTAGCACATCTGTCCCTTTCATTTCATTTATAATTTGCAATCTTGTATGTAAAATATATGAAGACGATAAATTATATTTAATTATTAATACTTGGGATTCTAATAGCTCAAGAATAATAATTGTATTCAATCAAGCAGAGCTGATTTTATATAGAATCATAATAATAACATCTTAAGCCCTGTTCACATCCTGTACAGTAAAAACAAAATCCGCTATTTCGAACATTAATTTGAAATATATGAAATTAGAAAAAAAAAGAACTGCTCTGGCCATTGCTATTTGTGTTTTTACACTAACTTTATACACGCCATTTTTCGATTAAGATGTTCTTCCCAACATGCACACCGAACCCCCACCCCCCTTTCTCCCACACACTCCCTTTTTCTCCCTCTACTCACATCCCAGCCAAGTGGACACTTGAATGACAGTGTAATCGTGGCTTGAAACTTGACATCTGTTTTATATAGTAGTGTGTAGACTTAGGATTGTTTAACAGTCAATAATATAGGCTATTATACGTTTGTGTCGTTTTCTATTCATTTTAATCAGGTTTTTGTTTCAAAAGTAGGTTATATTAAACGACAGATGGGCGATAAGAAACACAATATTGAAGGATTATTCGTATATTCGATTGCATAAAATGATGAATGAAGATTTCACCAACAACTGGGAGAAACACAGTTGGATGTTGGCGATTTGAAGCGACGTTGAATTCTCCATACATTGTTTATGAAAGTTATAAAGTTGTGTATTTTAATGTGGAATATAGAAGAAATAATAAATGTTCGAGAATGAGGGAGTGAATTTTACGAGTCCATTGGATCATTTAATTTGCAGAAATTGAATAGAGGTTTGTGTCATTTAAAGGGATTGTAAGGAGGTTTTCTTTCTTCTTTTTTTTTGGTGTAACACTCATACAATCTATTGCAAATACCAATGTACAATCCGACGTCTTTGATTCCCGCAATTCCAATAAAACCACGTGTTTGACGTCACTAATCGTGCAGGCCCTTATGTGATAAAGCACATTTCAAGTATGCACATTATTTAAATCTGACTTGTGAGATGCAGAAGTAAAATGGTGTTCTACGCTATAAAGACACATCAATAATAACATGGCTACAGTAGAATAGAATTTTACGTTCTACCTTATTGGATTAATGAATAGAGTTGACCTGCCCCTTATTGACATAGTAACGATTGGATTTGATGATATACAATGGAGTAAATGTAAGTATTTTGAACATTTTAATAAAAATTTGTAAAGCAGTAAAAGAGAATATAGCATCATCATGTAATATTGTCAAGATGTAACGAAATACTTTCAAAACGTGAAATAAACACAATATAATGTTAGAAAGTGTTTTTTAACAATCTTAAAAAATTGAAAAAATGAAATATTGAATTGTATATATATGTTTGAATATTGAGGACGAATCGAATCGTTGGAATTATTTTGTTTTTAACTTGAAACTAACAACACGCACAACCTGTCAAATAACAGCAATTTGATAAGGAAATATCAATAATCTGATAATTCTCAAAGATCTAATATCATTAAGATCTCTACCTAATCAGGGGGGATGATAATCATTCAAACAATGAAATTTTGTTTCAAAATCCAATCGTCTTCATTAGCCTAAATGGTGCAGAAAAGTAGGAGGTAAAACTCCATCAATTTCATTTCATTTCAAACTCCAAACTTACAGATGATATCTGGGAAAAGTTGTTTGTCAGATAATCCTGAAAGTTGTAATATGAGTTTTATTATTCTAGTAAACATGAATCGATAACATAATAACATCATGATATTTGTGATAAAGTGACAGTTGGAATTCTCTAGGATTATAATGAAGAGTGTTTTCTAGTTTTCTAATAGAATTCATCGGTCTGATATCACGTAAACTTCTTTCTGCATATTGATTCTGATACTTCATAGCCAACTTTTATTTCAAGAGGCAATTTTAATAACTTAAAGAGCTATTTAGACATTAAGATTCTGATTTAGTCTGTCTTATATTTGTCACGATGACATTGGAACAGTTTTCAGGAATTGTTTTTTAAGCAAGGGCGTCCGCAAAAGTTTTGTTTGGGGTCGGGTTAGGGATTATTTGCCCCCAAGGGCCCATGGCGATAAGTTTTCGATTCTTTCTTGTGGAACCTTATAGCATTGCATAACATTTACATTGTGAATCTTCTATAATTTATATATTTTGCTAATGTATTTGCCTGTTTTCTATACCGTTGAACGTGACGTTGAACATCTCTGTCTTATATAAAAAATCTGCACAGGTTATGTACAACTAAACGGCAAATAATGTCTTTCTCTTTTTTATATATTTTGCTAATGTATTTGTCTGTTCCCATTACCGTTAAACGTGACGTTGAACGTCACTGTCTTAGAAAAATCTGCACATGTTATGTGTGTACAAATAAACGGCAATGAACATCATCATAGTAATCTTTTAACTCCCATTGTAATGTCTCATTATCGAGCAAATAATACTCCATTTAACTAGTTACTTTTACTGTAATTTTCATATTTATAACTAGCTCGTGAAACTATAATTATCTTCTCTTTGATACGACAGCAGTAAGTTGCATAGTTTCCGTGTGTCATTCGCGAGGAAGTAATTTTCCATTTCATTTCTGTTAAAATCTCACGAAATCCTCGTCTCCTTTTCATAGAAATATATCCACATGAAACTCCCATTTCATTCCTGTGTCAACATCAGCACAGTTTTTTTTCAATACCGACGTAAAACTCATAGTAATGTCACGAAAACCATTAAAACTATTAGTCTGGATTTCATAGTAATATTTCAATGTCAAAACCCAGTCGCGTCTCGGAAGCAATACCGACAGAGGTTTAAAACTAGTTTAAATAAAGTTACTCGAAAATGACAGTAGAATATTACTGTTTTCACAGACTGTTTGCTCGTCTTTGTTGGTAGAAATGAACGTCCATGTACTTTATTATACATATTGAAAGGTTTGTACACAATTCAATCGGTTGTGAAGAGATTTTGTGAACATATTTTGGTAAATGTAATCAATTTTAATTTAATAATTTCAAATTCCACATTTTGTGGGCCATCCATTTCAACCTACTAGAAATGTGAATGACAATTAGTCCATTCCTTTCAAAATAAATAATTAGCCCAGTCGCAGATCACCGGATAAATTAGCTTGACCTACCTCTTAGACAATTCCAGCTTATCAGTTAGCTGGAATCGGGCGTTGACTTGTCATCTGCCAACAACTACCTAGTCTGTGATATCAGTTAGCTGGAAGCAAACGTTAACTTGTCATCTACCAACAACTACCTAGTCTGTGATATCAGCATCTGCTGAAAGCGAACGTTAACTTGTCATCTACCAACAACTACCTAGTTTGCGATATCAGTTAGCTGGAAGCGGACGTTAACTTGTGATCTATCAACAACTACCTAGTCGGTGATATCAGTTAATTGGAAGAGGACGTTTACATATCACCTGCCAACAACTACCAAGTACCACCACTGCAATTACAATTACCAAGTCTGTGATATCAGTTTACTGGAAGCGGACGTTAACTTGTCATCTGCCAACAACTACCTAATCTGTGATATCAGCTGAGATACCAGCTACCAACCAACCCATCGCCCAATAGGAAAATTAGTAATGTAAACTGGTGCAAGATGCAACTAAAAAAAATTTCCACCTGCAAATCTAATGAGCGAAACAACACTTTCATTACAGGGGTCTGTCTTATACTGCAGTGAATTGGCAATGAGTTTATTTATGATAAGAATGTGTTAAACTGAACTATCAGTAATTTGTTTATGTGATAATTCAACTTGTTACAGCAGTTTGTCTGTATTCTGTTATATAAACTCTTCTATCTGATACAGGTATAGTTGAAACACTTTGATGTGAAACTACACTTGAAATGTTTCTTGTCTTCACTTCCAAACATCTTTCTTCATACCTGGTTTTCTTCTGCCAGGAATGCATAAGCTTGACAAAAACCGTTTCTGGGTAAAATCAAAAACCGTTTCTGGGTTAAATCTGTAGTCCATAGCAGACTGGAGAAACCCCTGTTACAAACCAGGGGTATGATAGAACGTGTTACTGCTTAGAAAGGATAATACACCTGGAGGGTGCTCTTCAAAGAAGATGTCATTGCAGAGGGGCCAAGGCCAAGAGACTTTTGTCTGTTCTATGTCTGAATATAAGGTGGTATGGAAATGAAGACTATGTGACTCTGGCTACCTTATTATACATGTCAGTCTTGGGAGCTAGTGTTATTCCGCTTCGTGGATTGAAACAGGAGTAACTAGCCTTAACTGGCTGCATTATTTCCGTTTTACTCTGATTTATAGATGCTCGGAAATGATAGTGGAAATGAATTTGTTGCGTGATTAAAAGCGATAAACGAGTTGAAATTGGTGGTTGATAGTCATTTAAAAAATACTAGGTCATTGCGACCTTTTGTCT